TACGTTATTATTTTAGATTCCATTGTGACTTGCTGCACTTCAAGTAAAAATTTGAATACTAATATTTAATTCCACTAATCATATGATGATCACATTTCTCTGTGCTTACTAATTAACAATATAAATAGCAGTTACTTAACTTAGTATATAACAAAACATTATTCTTCCTTTATTTTTAGATTGTACTAAACCTAAATCTATGCCTAAAGCTGTCTCAAAAATTTCTTTAAACTGTATCTTTCACTATCGATTTAAAAGTTCTGTTCACCTACATTAACATTCCAAAAAATAACATAATATTAATACTTTATGTGACCCTTTTTTTGGATGGAGTGACAGCCTATTTCACAGTCTGGTGTGAAGAAGGTATTGTATATATATATATATATGTTTGAACCTACAAATTCAGTATGATTAATAGAATTATGTTATTTCATCTACAGAACACTTAAACCTTCAAAATACCTGGAAATTCATAAAAAAAAAGGGTATAAAACTATCTTAAAGTTCAAATACTTAAAACTAAAGGAATTAAAACTCTGTGCTCTTTTTCACATTATCCATCAAATAAGTTGTATATAATACAGGTACTCATGTATCTTTAAAATAAGAACAACTGAAATTTCTTTTTCTTTAATATTTTCAGATTTGTCAAATCTGTCATTGTAAATTCTTCAGGATCTTTATATGTGATGATTATGTGAAACTTTAAAACCAAGAATCAAATGCTTTTATAATTCAATTATAAATAAAATTGCCAAATAAAGCTGCTCACTCACTTTACTCTCTTCACATAACATGGTTTCTTACCTCCTCTGGTAAAACTGTGAGTACTTCAAGTAAGGCTGGCAGGTACTTAGCGTCGTTTCCTAGCCTGAAATATCATCAAAGGTACTGCTACGATAAGATAGTTACAAATATTTCCTCCTTAAAATTCACTTTTGGTCATCGGACCTATCAGTGCAAGAACATGTAGCACACAGTGTCAATGCTGTAGTGATTATTCTCCACAAGACCCCAAACCACTTCATTTTTGGTTGAGACAATGCTGACTGGAAAGTGAAAATTCATAATACCAATTAAACACTGATGAACTAAATAAGTCAAACAGAAATAAAGTTATGCTGGCCTCTGTTACATCACACTGTTCCTGAAAATTATGGGTTGAACCAGCTATTCAACCAAGGTGAGAAGTAACACATCCCATTCTTATGAGAGTGTTCACTGCTAGAGCTTGATCTGGTTAAAATAAACAGTGTGAATAAATCAACAAAGTTATGGCATCTCATTCTAAGCTTCTGATAGTGACTAGTGCACTGAAGCATGGTACGTTTCAATTTTCAGAGGGTGGACATGAGAGTAGGGTTGTTGCATTTAAAACCCAATAACTTTATATACAAAGTGCTTTTACGACATTCTAACTAGTTGATTTTGGATAATGGTTTCACTAAATGATACAACCACAAAAGAAACATAAAAATTATATAAACTGGTAGTATTTATCAACATATACTAACTTTTCACATTTACTTTGGCAGCATATCAGTAGTTACTACTCTGTGTTGACAAAATGTATAGTCATCTGTGCATAAGATATTTCTATACTGGGATTGCGGTGATAGTACATTCAAAAGTTTGTGTTATCCATGTATAAGAATAAACATGTTTGTGATTCAACAGATTACATTCATATTACTAAAACAACAAATGACAGGGATTTGCAAACTGTGGTTATCAGACTCCATATTACAAAAGTTTGCATTACTCAAGCTGGTTCATACTTTGATTCAGTAGTTCCATTCACTCCACTATGTAAGCACATGACAACAGCTACAAACCATGACTGTTAATATTAGAAAATTAGCAAGAGTGGATACAGAATACTCCTACTTTCCAGGAAAAAAAAAGGTATATACACACAGACACACACACACAGACTTTCATACTCAGTTTGTGAAGCTCAATTCTGTATCATTAATGAAAACTGGAAAAGGATATTCCTTATGATTTTTTTTGAAACAGTAATGATACATTAATTTTATTATTTAACATATTATCAAGAAATTTTATGTATCATTACAACTAGGATTATATATCATTAACCTTATATTTAGGTTCAAGAGTTTAATCCTTTCTTTACAAAATCTCGTACCCACCATTGCTTAGGATGCAGAACTTGTAAATAAAAGACTCAATAGGTTAAGACATTTAATGAAATTAAAAGTTCAGCATCTAAGTTCAATAAAGTGGTCAAAAGTGTTAAATTAATTCAGTTTGAACCATAAAAAAGGCAAGGAAACAAACAAACAATGTGAAAATCTTATTAGGAAAAAGTGAGCACAAATGACACAAATCTGGGTTGTTGTTACAGACAAAATATGAACAATTTTCTAAAAAATAGGTCCATTGGTCAATCATAAGGATGGTAGTTCATAAATATGGAAAGTACCATATGATCCATGTTTATCCCACAGACATTTTACTTAACTAAACATCAGGTTGAATGTCTACATTATTGTACACACATTCCACCACAATTTATCTCCCTAGTTTCACCCCTCCACCCCTTCCTGTGAATGGCCAAATAGGCTAAGTTCTACTAATCAATGAATATTTTGTGCCTGCTTTTACCAATTAAACTGACTTTTGGATGTTTCAGATCCCTCAGTAATAAATAAGTTGCTCATAAATTGGCATTAACTTGCCACAGTTGTGTAATCAATTAACAATATTGTACAAATTAAATACTTCAATAACTACAAACTAAGGAATAATAGTATGCAATGAGTAAATTCCCATACAAGTTTGTATTGTTTTTCAGAGGATATTTTTCAAATATTTGTTAGACTGTTTACTTGTTATTCTGGAATACCTTAGCAATAAATAAAAGCTGCCAGAATAATGGTATTTCTTATGATCAGTAATTTAGTTGTTAGGGTATTTATATCAATTGCTATCAGTATTGTCTGGTAATGAAATATGACTTCAAATGGTGAATAGCTCTATTAAACATTCTGCAAGTGATAATAATTAGGAACATGCATTACTTTTGCAGAATAAGCATAAAATACTATTTTGGTCTTAGGAAATGACTAAACTTTCTTTGATATAGATATTGGCAATTAATATAATTACATTTAATGACAGATCAAATATAAGTGGAAGTGTAGTGCATATTCAATGCAACTAAAAAAACAAAATATAATCTATATCCATATTTTATATATAATATACACAATAGCATTTAGTTCAACTATGAGCAGTGCGTGTGCACGTGTGTCAATTCTCTTGTAAGCAGCTCACACTGGATCTACAAGTACTATGCTTAATGTAATTATATTGGGCAGATGGATGCATAGTAGGCACAGACATAGTTTATTTCACAATGAGTGGTGTCACCTATCAGATGCTCACAAGCATTTTTTTCCTTCCCTAAACACAAATTTAATTTATCCCAGATAAAGAGGTGTACAAATCCAACAGCACTGATACTGTCCCAATGAAACTTTGCAAATTCTACAGTGTTTAAATAGAGAAATAGGAGGAAGGTGTCATTGATATCTTTTAATTTTTTTCCTTCTCACATTGGAAATTCTTAACCATATTGCATAATACTTAGAACAACCTTGTTAAATAGTATGTAGTTTCAGCTTTATAAAAAAACACATAATTTGATTTTGTATTTGTATCATTTCTTATGCCATGAAATTTCCAAAAATACTTCCTTTCATCTTAAAATTTACTTACTGTTAATGAGTAAGTCTCATTTTAAATAACCAGTCAATTTCAACTTGATATCAAATATTGAAATTACAGAAAGTTGAAACAACATTTATTTATATTTTAAATAACACAGTTGTTAAAAGAAACTAACAGTTAATGATACACAATATATAAAATTAGATTGGGCACAGTCTCAAGGTTTTTATAAAGTAAATTATTTAATAAGTGTTTTACTGCATCTTGCAATTGGGGACAATCTCATTTTTAATCTTTATTGTGTACGAGTAAATGATGATTTCTTTTAACAACTGTGTTGACAAATATTCATTAACATGCTCCTTTTGTTACTTTATTTTGTTGACTTCCAGCTATAAATCATCAAAACACTGCAAAAACTGACAAAGATTTATTGGTGATGTAGTACTTAACCATTCCATATGATGAGGGGTCAGTCTAGGTAACAATATTTTTACTAACAATATTCATGGACAAGATAAATTTCTATATAATAAATAACAAGTTCTTTCATTAATGTGTGGATTGTTTGAATACAATAGACATGAATGTAATCTATCTATCTATCTATCTATATATATATAGTATAGTGTGTATATATATATATATACACACACACACACAAGCATGAATGTCTCTCTCTCTTTCTCTGTGGGTCTGTTCCTTATGCACATCCATATCTTTAAAGCTACAAACTCCAAAATCAAGGTAGAGATACAATTTTGTGCAGGAAGTAACATGGGCTATGTGGGCATGGCCTCAGAGGCCATTTTGAGGCCAAAGTACCCAATATAGCAATTTTTGGCAAACAGGACACTCCCTCAACTATATTCAGCCATATTTTTTGCTTTGCTTGTGTATACTCACAAGAGTCAGTTATACGATGACTTTACAAAAACATCTGGTATTAACAAATATTAATTTACGTTGTGTTGCAAGGAGAAGAGAATAAATGAATTCTTCATTAAATAGAACAATAATAAAATCAGAATATTCTGCACAAAACACTTGACCACACAGCAGAAATCAGGACACAAAAAGGTAGGGAATTTTGTTTTGGAAACTTGAAATGTCATGCAAAGCACATGCAAGAAGCAGGAACAATGTACCCAGTTTTGCTTTGATTAAATAGCTTTAGCAAATCATTATTTTTTCACATTGTTATTTTTATTGATTTTAATCAAAATATTTAGTTAGTTAAAGAAATCATGATTAATAAGGTTGATTTAATCAAAATCACTCAGGATATTGAAAGCCATTTTCATACGAGCAATGCCGGGTCCTCCGCTGGTACACAATAAATAAAAAATATTTTTCCACTAGCTACCTTACTCACTTAACCCTATGGATACATGTATGTCGAAATGCACATGCATGACATTTTAACTTAGTTACATTCGCAATTAATTAAACTACCTTATAATCAATGTATGTTACTAAACATAGCATCAAAATGTAGATTATAACCCAAATTTTTGAATTATCTAAGCCTAATATCTTAATCTCAAAAGGAAATATCTAAATAAATTTTCACTCTGCACTTTTCTAAGCCACATGATGGTGTTGAGCCACGACTTCTCATTTATAACTTTTTCTTTTCCCTTATAAGAGATTCAAACAGATACTATAGGTATTAACAAGCCAGAATATAAAATTAAACATCTAATCTTCTTGCTTTACTGAAATATCACTATATTTGTTCAACCCACATTGATACACCTCCCCTGTATCCTGTCTTTGAAGAAATTTCTATAATATTCTCTGACATTACTGGATATGTTTATAACTAATACAAAAATTATATTCTATGCTACAAAAATCAGATGCTTTTCTTTGTTTTAGCAGTCAATGCCAATACTTCCCTGGGACAGCTTGATATGTTTAGACTAAAGACATTGCTCCAAGCAGTAATGAAATCTTTTGAACCTATTTGAAGGTAAGTTAGAAACTCAAATAAATTACAGTAGTTTTGGGATATTCTATCCTAGAACTTGATACAAGTTTTGTGTTTTAAAATGCATATTTGAAAGCCATATAAATTATCTTTGGACAACCAACATAGTAAGAAAAAAACAAGCTTACTAAACTATGCATTCAATCACAAAGAGCCTCATGGCTAAAGCAGGTGCTAAATTTCTTGGTTTTTATGTATACTCGCTGAGAGCAGCCATTAAGGAAGTAAAAAATGTATAAAGGACAATGTTAGGTAATGTTCCCTTTCCTTCTTTCTTTTGTTATCAAATCTCTAATGATCTCATTAAATTCTAATTGCTACCCTGCTTTGTGGAGAGTAATAACTGACTCATTTAACTGAATAAATATTTGTGTCTTTATATTCAAAGCCACAAATATGTACACCAGAGGAAATGTGCCATATGTCAGGGTGTTTTTTGATACAACTTTGTTATTTTATCTCCTTCTTGGGCAAAAATTATAAAATAAAGTAAGTCTATGTTTACTATTGGACATTTTCCAGTTACCATTCAAAAAAATTACAGTCATCGAGCAAGCCAACTGTGGTTGATGGAAGCCAAACGTCTATAAAAAAAAGTGGAAACGTATATTATTTCAGGATTCTTTTTATTCTCCTTCTTTGGCAAAACTCCTAAAACAAAACAGCCAATGTACACTATCAAACAGTTCCCAATTACAATACAAAAAATTACTGTAATTAAATCAGCCAACTCTGGGTGATGGATGCTAACACACACACATACTACACAAACACATTATAGATCATCTTTATAGCAACATTTTTTATATGAATAAACATTATTTAACAAAAGTAACTAAACTGACAAAAATCAGAAACTTAAGCTAAATCAGAAAACTTAGCTTAAAAAAATTTCTTCTCAAGGAACATAAATGGGCTGCTGTCATGTTTGTACTTGTGATGTAACTTGATAGTTTGTCTATCCTACCTTCTTGCCAAGTGATTTATTTCTTTGTTATAGTTAGACATGGCTCAAAGAGTAACACAAAAAATCTTAGGAAAAAGAAAGCAAGTGTGAAAATGTTATGATCCCAAAGCTGCTTAGGATAAATAATTGTAATTGTCTGTTTCAATCTGTTTTGTAGAAAAAAAAAAGTTTTGTTAATTTTATTTCATAATTAACTTTTCATTTCACTATACATTGATGATTTAGCTACAGTTAATGTTACAGCAGAAAAAATAAAAGATAAAGAATAAAATTTTACAGAAAATAAAAACCTTGACATTCATTTACAACATTTTGGAAGTTATGCAAATGAAATAAAAAAACATTAGATGAAGAGAAGTACTTTTATTCTTAGCATGAAAATCACCTCTTGCCCAGACTGACTTAGTAAAAGCTTCATAAGTTCACAGACAAAGCTTTAGTAAAAATACTATATTATAAAATCAGATTTTTTGTGTACAATAGACTGTAATGTTTACTGAAAGCTTGTCAAACTTTTTGAAGATACAGTTAGTTCATTCAGAGTTATAGTATGAATAGTTTCACGGTTACATTGTGGTTACAAAATTTATCAAAATGACCAAGCCCATACACACAGAGTTAACTTAATTAAACTTATATGATGTCTTGTCATAGAACAAAATTTCCATTTCTTTTAGAGAAATATAATTTAATAAGAAAACATCTTCAGGAATGAAAAGAAGATATAAAAGAAACTATAAAGAATTCTCAGATCTATGGTTTCTTCTTAAGTCTTCTAAATTTCCCACTGTCCTCTTTTACAATAGTATTTAAACTTTGCTTGTAAATATTTTCCAAACTGGGGTTCATAACTAGTTGTTTAGATCACATGCTGTGATATCATAAAAAGTGAGAATCAAAAGGCTGTATCTCATAAAACCAGAGAAAAAGAAAAAAACACCACATAAAAAAAAACATTTTTTACTTTAAGTGGAATTATTATTTTTACTTAAAATTTGAAAATGCGGCTATAATAACCTTCAACCTTTCTATAACTTATATTTCAAGAACTTAGTTGTCTGTAATAGGTAAGTTTTGACCACTGTAAACCCATAACTTGAGACTGCAACATTTCTGCATTATCTTTGTTTTTTGGTATAACTGGACAGGGAATTTGATGGTGCTAACCCAACTTTCCCAGGTGAGTACAGAGTGGTCATTTTGCAATCTTGTGTTTGAATGACTAAAGTTTAAGATGCACCATTTCTTTATTCACTAACTCAACATGTGTATGTTTGAATCTATGTAGGTTTGTCAGTCTTGTCCAGGTCATCAGATGAACTGTCAACATGAAGTAACACCCAATTCATTTGTTGTTGGATTAACTGATACAAGTTAGTCAATTAAATAAACAGCATTATTTCAAGTTTAACTGTTTTTGTTTTTACATCTTCAAATTCACTTCCAGCACTGAAACTATTCAACCTTCACTCATCAAACATCAGTGATTCACTGCCAACTAAATATTAGCATTCCTTTGGTTACTTCAGTTGTGCCTTATCTGTATGTAAATCTTTACTTAAGAATACCACATTGTTTTCAAAATCTTACACATTGTAAAAGATTAAGAATTACTACAGTAGTCAAATAGTATAAACTATTGAGCTACTTAAGTCATGTATATGACTTGTGTTTGATAAATAAAACATTTTTTAGTAGAACAATTCTGAATAAACCTTTAAAACTAAGCAATATTTCCCAATTTAGATGAACTAAAAAATCTAAGACATACAAGTATGTTATTCAAGTACCCTTTTACTTTAAAAAAAGTAGCTCAAATTAACATTTGGTGTAATATTATTTTACAAGGTACATTTTTCAGTACACTTTTGGCTACCTTACATTTTACAAATGCTCTCATCAATCATTAAACTCTCAACTTGTAGAGTTTGCATTTTCTAGGGTAGGAATTATTAAATATTTTCTATTGAATATATAAATCAATGATGTTTTCTTTTTTTATGATAAAAAGAAATATTTCCTAACCTTCCAATGATGTCTTCAACTGGTGATTCCCATGATGCCATTTGCAGTGCCAGGTCGGCTAATGCTAAACATAACTGGAAATCATCAGAAAATATTATTTAGTATTCTTTAAGCAAATTTATATAATTGCATTAAAGATTAAAAATATTTCAACTACTGCAAAACGTTTATTCTAAGAACCCACAAGTGAATAAAAACAAAGGAGAATATGTTATAATATATCAAGCACACAACTTCAGCCACATACAGTGTTAATGAGGCCTTTTCTCCAATATCAGGGTTTATCAGGCTGGCTGGGTTATGACAAACATAACAGTGGTCTACGTGCTATAGATAATCATCTTGTTTTTATGAACAATAAGTGTTATGGTGTGATCAAGATTAAGCAAGTGAATTATAATTATTATCAATTATATTTAAGTTATCTACAAATCAATTTTTAAGTGAAGAATTAATAACACAACATTATTTATTTTATTTTAACTTTTTTAAACACTGCTTATTTATTTTTTGTTGTTATTATTATTATTACTATTTTAATTGAATTGACTTTACTATCATTCACAAGAATTGTCAAACCAGCAAGCTAGTTTTCTAGTTCCCAGAGTGAGTCATACAACCACGGTATCAATGAGAGAAAACTACACAGGTAATTCTAAGAATTCACGAATGAAAGCAAAGTAGAATGTGTTTTGTCAACCACGCTAAATCTGCCATAATCAATGACAATAAGGCAATCTACAAATACCACAACTCATATTATGGCATTAGCACAATTTCATTTTGCTGTAAAACAACCACATTTCCTTAAATGTAAAGTATACTCATGTGTCAAACAATATATGTAAACTAGAATCTTGTTATGTTTAATTATCAATAAAACATTTTAAATTTCCAGCTAACAGCTTGCTTCAAAATAATATCATAAAACAGTTTAAAAAACTGGTAGTATTCAGCATATTTTTAATACAATTATCAAGTCATATTTATTTAAATTGCACAGTATTTAACAATTAATAAAAGATAATGTAATCTTCAGATTCTCAAAAAAAAAGATTTTCTAACATTTTATGCACAAATTACTTATCCAACCAAAGTATAGGACATAACATCTAAAGTTTATCAAACTTAAAGCATTTTGGGATTTAAAAGAGAAACCACAATTGTAAAGTACCAATATAATGATCTTGATATGTTTCAAAATTAAGAATTTCAATTTCAGATTTGACAGCAACAGATTATTAATAGTACTAATGCATTCAGTTTCTAAGTTAAATTGCAAGTGACAAATAAAATCTACTGTCTATCTTCTTCTTCCATACAGCTACACTTTCAACAATTTTAAGTATGACCTTAAAGGGATCCAATAAACCTATGACTTTCAGTTTGTTTGTTTGTTGAATTTTGCACTAAGCTACATGAGAGGTATCTATGATAGCCATCCTTAGTTTTAAAGTGATAGACTAGAGAGAAAAGGCAGCCAGTCAACACCACCCATTGCCAACTCTCAGGCTGAATAGTGGAATTTGACCATCACTCTTATAATACACCCAATTCCACACAGTGTGGAGCATGAGTTTTTATTTTTAATTTCAGAGAGCAATGGAAAAGTTATGCATGTTACTGTAAGACTGAAATTTTAAAGTGGGGTAAAATGGCACACATTTATTTTTATGAATGAAATTGGGAATTTGAATACCAAATTTTTTGACTAAAAGTTTACAGGTTACAAATTTTAAATTTTCCTAATAGTAGAGACAACAGTATTAATATCTACATGAAAAAACACATTTTCATGTAAAAACAGAAGTTGCAGAAGAGAATATGTATTAACAATGATTTCACTATCTTCACTCCTACAGTATAAAGACATACATGGCAATACAAACTCAAAGGTAAAATAAGATCAAGTATTGTTTGTTTTTAATTAAGCACAAAGCTACACAATGGGCTATCTGAGCTCTGCCCACCACGGATATCGAAACCCGGATTCTAGCGTTGTAAGTCCGCAGACATACCACTGTGCCACTGGGGGGCAATAAGATCAAAAGAAAGGAAATACATTTGAAGAATTCTTGAGATTTACCCAACTAGTTAAACCCAATATTTAACGACTGATTAGAGTTGTTAGATTGCATTTTTTGAAATATCATGACATCAAAATTTGCTCTTCTATTCCCACAATTCATTACTGACAAGCTCATTTGTGCCTAAAAAAACATAAACAATTTTTTTTTTATATTTAAGGAACTTGTACATTTTTCTTTTTGATAAACTGATGGTTTGATAGGCTTGCTGATAAAAGAAAAGCAAGTAAATAATTTGATAGTGTATATTGAAACTCAACGGATTAAAACAAGAAAAATCTAAAAATATATACATTATCAAAAGTATGCATGAATTTTTAAGCTTGACACTTTTTTGGTGTAATAATTGTGATCCAAAAACCTTGCCCAATGAAAAAGACTAGCAAATGTTTATTTGACTTTTATATACTAAAATCCATACCTGAGTGACAATGACGTGAGCTGTTTCTTCAGTGACATGACTAAGATGTTCTAACAAGGAATCTCTCAGTGAAGAGTAGGATTCTACAGGTAACTCGTGGAAGGAATACTGAATCTAATGAAAACATCATCAGTAACATCATTTTTCAACTTAAAATATCAACACTGTTCACGTCATAGCAAACTTAGTTCAATATGAGTTACAGCTACAGGATTTCTACTTTATAGTTTTGCTTGTTTTAGAGTAGAGCCACATTGGTTTATTTGCTGTGTCCACTACAGAGAATTGAACCCCAGATTTTAGCATTTTAAGTCTATAGACTTTCTGCTGCCTGACCAGGGGATGTACTTTATTGTAACCACAGAGAAAACAATTAGATGTGCATTTCTGAGAAGTATATCAAAGTTGCATGTTGAACTATAACTACGTATTTGATCTGAAATACTGCAATTACAGTACAAAATTATCTGTTAAACAATAACAATTTTTTCCCCACAGTCCTCTATAAATAATAAATATAAATGAGAAAAATGTTAAATATGTATTCCAAAAAGCATTCAATTTCTTATGACACATGCTGCAACTCTTTCCATATGGGATCCAGTTGATGTGACCGCCCATGTGATCAAAGTAACCATCACAGCTGCAATACTATAACTATTAATATATTTTGTGTATCTTCAAGAAATATGGCAAGCTTTCAGTAAGCATTAAAATTTTTTGTACACAAAAAAAAAGATTTTTTAATTAAGTATTTTTACTAAATATTTGTACGTTAATATATGGAGTCAGTGTGTTGTCTGCCACAAGAACAAAGTGATTTTCATGTTAAGATAAAAAACACTTTATCTAAAAATTGTCAAAATTCATTTGTAGAACCTATAAAAACTTCTAAATAAATATCAAACGTTTTTTTTCATTAAAACGTTATATTTTTTCTATCATTTTTTTCTACCCTAACTCTATACACATTCAGTCAATTTGACCGGCCTTGTAACCATCATAAAAAAAATAAAAAATAAATTTAAATTACCCTTTCTTCTTTTTAGAATGACTGCAGATTGTAACAGGATACTTACAATTATTTGTCCTGAATAGCTTAAAACTTGACATTCTACAACTGTTTATACTTAATTTTATTGTTTCATTACCCTTTGAACCATGTCTAACTAATGATCCCACCACACAAGTTATAAATCACTTGATGAACATATAGCTCATGTTATTATATTGAATCAAGTAATGCACAAGCTGCTCACAAGCATACCTAGTGAAGAATTACTATTTTTCCTTACATTTTAGTTTCTTTTACAATAATAAATAATATATATGAAGAAGAAGAAACATAGTACTTATCTTTTACCTCATTTTTTTTGCTTTCAGTTGCAGATGAAATTTAAGCCTACTTCTTTTTCTTTTTTTCACACTAATGGTACTAGTACACTAAATTAATTTCTATTTACATAAATAATGTGCCTAAGAACACAGGATAAAAACATGTACAAAACAATCAATGTCTTATAACTATCATAACTTGATCGGCTTTCTAACAATAGCATAAGAGCCTTTAAATAATTCCCTAATTTTGTTGAGCTGAAACTGTAAGGAAAACTTTCAAACTGAAAATGAAATAGACAATACTGTGTACTAAAAGCAAATTATGTAATAAATAATCATTTGATAGATTAAACTTTGCCTTTCTGTTGATTTGAAATAATACAGTATGAAATATCAGAGAGAACTGTTGGCAATTTCTTAAAGACAGGATGTGAAAGGTGGGCTATAAATTATGGATAATGACAGGCAAGAATATAAAATCTGACCCTCTTACCCCCTTAACCTGCTGAGATACCAATAAATTTGTCAAACTTATTTGACAAGTTCCTCCCATGTTGTCACAGCTTTCAAGGTAGTTATCTAAACCACATCTTTATCTGATGTACATGTTTATAACCAGCAGAAAAAGCTTTTCTTTTTCTGCAAAAACCTTCTTATGGTTATATCTTTTTGGCAGTCACTCACAGATAGTTGGCCTAAGATTCTTTGCTCATATCATTGTCATTGAACTCTGAAAAGTTGACGGAATTTTTTAAAATCTATTTATAACTTTATTAGAATGTCAGTTAATTGAGAGTCATTTTGGGACATCCTAATCTAGTACCATTTTGTTTCTGTGCTATAAAATGCATATTTGAAAGCTACATGAATTTTATTTAAATAACTAAATAATTGAGAAAAAAAAAAGAAGGATTATGGTGCAAAAGGCCTGAACTCTGACATACATGCTAACTTTTTTGTTTTTATGTATATTTTTTTGCTTATTATTATATAATTTTTAATAAAACTAACTAAAATGTAACATTAGAAACTTCTTAGGTTAAATAACGAAACTTAGATAAAATTTTAAATTTCATGAGCTCAGATGATCTGTAACTCAATCTCATAATGTGACCACGAATGTAATCTAACATTTGTTTACCCTAAGCTCGACTGGTAGCATCCCACTGTGATTTGTTTTTCATGGACAGAGGGTACATAAGTACAGCAATAAAATCTTAAAATTAAAAGAAAGCAGAAATGAAAAGATCAGAAGCTGAGACTGTTAGGATAAAGAATTGCAATTGCCTATTACATTCTGTAGTCATTCTATTAAAAAACAAGAGGGAATCCTCAATAGCCGTGCCAATTGAAATTCTTTTAGACAGGATTAGAGTAAATTAATCTGGTAAAATACATCAATCAAAAGGGTTTGACCTCCTAAGTCCTAAACTGTAATCAGATCCCAAATCGGCCAAGAGATGAAGGAGCTACGAGCTAAAGTTTGTACTTGAAAAAAAACAAAAAACTCAAGAGTCATTCTATGAGTCACTATGCTGCAGCTAATAAAATAAAAAGGGGTATTATTAATTTTGTTTTATATTTTTTAACTATTCGTTTAATTGTACATAGATGATTTAGTTACAGTTAGTGTTAGTGTATAGAAAATAAAAGATTAAATACAAAGTTTTATAAAAAAAAACAAAAAAACAATTGATATTTATTTAGGAGTTCTAGAGGTTTTGTAGAGGAAATATGAAAACTGTAAGATGAAGTATTTTTATTCTTAGCATGAAAATCACCTTTCACTAAGACTGACTTAATAAAAGCTTTGTAAATTCACAGACAAATCTTTAGTAAAAATACTGTATTTCAAAAAATCAATTTTTTTTGTGTACAACAGACCTGTAACATTTAATAAAATCTTACCAAATTTCGTTAAGATACACTAAGTACATTCAGAGTTACAGTGTATATAGTTTTATGGCTACCTGGTGGTTACAAGGTCAATCAAATTCACTGAGTCTGAATGCACATGGCTAATGGAGATTTGCAAACTTGTTATAATTAAACTTCGGGAAAATAAAAAATGAAAATCCACATATGGATAAAAAAGTTCATGCATTAACAAAATGTGGCTCATTAATTCATTCCAACAATTTCTTTCAGAGATTAACTAAGTTTTTTATAAATGTGTCAAAAGGAAAAATGTTTTCCTTTTTCTTGATATAACTTCAAAGTATTGATTACGTTTTGACCACTAGCCTACTGTTAAGATGACATAAAACAAAAAAACTCAACACAGAATAAAAAAGACGTTGCTATTGACATTTATGCATATCCAACACTTTTTCATTATGTTTCCACAATTATTTCATAAAGATCTTGATTTTCTATAATTTTAGTTATCATTAAGTCTTACGAAGTAGCTATAGAAAAACAAAACAAAAATAATTCACCTTTGTTCTCATAGTCTGTGCTGCAAAATAACAAGCTTCTAATTCTGCTTTTTGATGAAGCAGTTGATCTGATATCCTCCATGCAAAAACCTGCAAGACAATTGTAAGCTTTAGCCCTATGAAAACAATTAGCTCAAAACAAAATCAAATTTTACAACATACTTTAACAAACTATCTTGGAAGCCTGCACAGTTGCATACACAAAGTGAAGAGTTGAATAATTTGAAATAAGCAGACTCAAAAAGAACTTAGTACATACTGTTCACAGAGCATTACACAAATACTGTGGCTATCTCTACCTTATGAAATATTTTGTAAATTTTTAGAAAGACTGTCAAAATACCCATCAATGAAATCAACATGGTGTTTATAGCACAAATTTATCAATTTGCATACAGTAAGCAACAGTTCCATTTCATCATTAATAGCTTATGCTTATCTGCACTTTTAGTGCACCCCTGGATTCAGGTGACAGCAATTCTTTGAATAATCTTTGATTTTCAGCAGAAACAACTAATATTTATTAGTAATTAAAATACCATCAAGTACAAATTTGTAAATAAAATCTAAACTCTTTTAAAGAGCCATTCTACAAATACTTCAGTTTTATAATAAACTAAAATCATACTTATTAGCTAATAAAGTTATTTAGAGAACTACAACTTCAGCACTCTTCACATTTAAGTCAGTAAATTCAAGAACTTTCATTATTTTGCAGTGTTCTTATCACCTGCCTGAGATCTGAATCCAATGTTATGAAAACAAATATTCCCAAATTTATTTTGATATTGATAGCATATATTTTGATTTACAGGCAGATGTGAAGAGTATAATAACACTACTCTTCAAAAACATTCACAATTATATGCTCAGTTTGACTGGTAAAAACACATAAAATTATTGAATTTTGTATAATGTTTAATTTTACACTGGGAATGAAGAGAATAGACAGATCTTCCTTCTCTCACAGAATCAAATTGGAATACACGTTAATTTCCATTGTTTTAGTGCTTCCATTTTTCTTCCCATTGTTACCAAAGATGACTACTGTAAATGAAAGACACTGAGAATAATTTCATGCTATAAAGAAATTAGGATCAACGTAATTGTGTTTTATAATAATGCCATTTAGTGACATAATAAAAACAAAGACTTATGGAGATGTGGTTAAAAGTTAACATTTTCTTAAATTGAAAAGGTATTTCCAATAATAATTACCTCCTAACACACTACAGCTATTACTCGACTGCCAGGGTTTCCTTCCTTTGCCCATCTAAGCATTGATATTAACTTTTCTTGCTTGCTCCAGTCTTTTATTCCCCACTTAATTGCCCTTGGCAATATCTGTTATGTGACACTCTCCACCTACGTCAAAGCACCCTCTATCCTAGTACTGTATATAAGCACTTCATTCAGATAATGTTATCACTTTTTCGAGACTGACTCATTTCACAGTCTCTAACACTGGATCTTAGTGGGGAGGAAGGGTGGGAGATGAGGTAAGTATTACATTTTCAATTTAAGAAAACATTAACTTCCAAACATACTTACCTCCTCTCACACTACAACTAGAATCCCGCACTGATAGGGTGGAGGGGACGGTGAGGACATTATTCATACAGAAATCATTTGCATAGATCATGGGCATGCCAATAGAAGATTGGCACCCTAGTGGGGGAACTCCACTACATCCAGAACATGTATGCTCTTCACCTGGAACTTAATTAATGTACTGCGGGTGGAAGTTTACATGATCTATCATCACTATTGGCCAGGCCACAACTAAATAGCTGAGGTTCCACTGCTTGGGATTGGAATTATAGGGGCCATGGTCCTTATTTCCCAAATTGATGGCTTGGGCAATTGGACTGCAATATATATATACACAAACACACATACTTGTGAGTGGTTCAAACCTGTAGCCATAGAGCTATGCCACTGGAATCACAACAAGAAGGTAAGCAACACTGAAATGGACAAACCTTCTCCTCAACCTGAAAAAGTCCAAAAGGCAACACCCCCAACTGGGAATGACGGGATCCTGTATGCCATACTAAACCTGAGGAAAGAGAACTCATCCAGTTTGTAATTATTAACTCTTATTCTCACTCCCCAACCGAGTTGTTCATGGAAGAGGGTTCACTGTCTCCTCGTAATTTTGAATGCAGAGTGGTTCCATCCCGGGTCCTTTGTTGAGCACAATTTGTTCCACATCCTCACCATAATTCTGGAGACAAGAAGAATTTACCTTGCCCATGTACTGAATCAATACTGATCCAAAAGAAGGGCCATGTTCAACCCAACCAGATAGCCGAGCATCAAATCTGAACTGGTATTAAGAGGTGCCTTTCCTACTGACATCTGGGAAAAACAAACAGGGACTCAGGTAGGAGGGCTCCAACTTTGCCCTCTTCTCCAAGTGTGGAGAAATTCACTTAAACTCTGGAGGAAGAACTTCTGTCTACCACCCCAGTAACTGGAAATCAGGTGTGATAAGGACTCTCTAGCTTCACCAGTAGAATCTTGGGGGGAATGCACATTGGGGAGTTCTGAGGAACATTGCTCTGGAAACAGTGCAATAGGAAAACCAAGTAACCTAAATTTTTAAAAGCAAACAGATCCCAACTTATTTAATTCAATGATCAGCAGGAGAATCCTTTTGCTTTATTCATGATAGTCCATGATTGGCAGTCCAGCATAGTACAGTAATACTAATCAGTCAGCCTCTAGGTGGTTATATGGAACACCTCATTTCTACAGAGCCTGTTGTGACCTAGATAGAGTATATTGAATTAGTGGTTGCTAGTGCAGAATTGGTTTGATAAAAGCATACCTGCCTGGGCAACATTCACCACAGAGTGGGATCCTGTGAAAATAAGTTAAGGGACCCTGAAAGGTAAAGAAGAAACAAGAATAGCAATGAAAATACTCACCCCTCTGTATAATCCAGTGGATATGGTTAATATAGCTGAAAGGGTTAGTCAAAAACCCTCAGATGAAGATACTGCCATATCATGCAAATAATGAGAGATAAAAGTATTGGTGGCAGTCCACACAATTTCCTCCAGTGGGCAATTCAACCGGGCTGCTAAGGGCATAGAAATGTGACAAATTTGATGAGACATGACTCCCAGAAGTCTCCTCACCTTCAAAGAGAGCCCAGAATAAGTGATACGGATCAATTTCTTACGAACTTCGTCAATGCAACCAGGGATAAATTCTGGGAAACTGAATGATCCCAATAAATAAAATCGTTGTCTAGCATTTCTAAAGGAATTAGTGCAGGCAACAAAACCTTCAAGACCCTCACTGGACATTACAAACAATCAAGAACATTGGTCATATAAAGACCAAAGAAGGGATCTCTTGTGCACTCATCCCAAAGGAATGAGGTATTCAAGTGAAGCCCACATTCCCAAATGAGAAAGAACCAATTGCACAGTGGGAGAAGAAGAGATGAAAAAGAGTCAGACTTCCTGTTCCATAGCTTGGAGCCCGACTGAGATACATGATGAAAAAAAATACCTAGACTGATGATATATTGTGTTGGAGCAAGAATAGATGACTCAGCTCTGATAATGAAGCCTGACTTGGTTGTTTCTGAAAGTAGAATCCGGGTGTTATGTTCTGCCAATTGACAAGATGGTGCCAGCAGTAACCAGTCATCCATGGAATGGTGTGTGCACAGGCCTAGGAAAAGGAGGTGACGAGAAAAAACTCCTACAATTTGGCAGAACAAATATGATGCCAATGCTAGTCTGAACTGCAGCACATGACCATTGTGTACAAAATGCATATAGGGGTGGGACTCCACCACTATGGAAATGTGCAGATAGGAGTCAGCAACATCTAACTTGAACATCCACATACCTAGTAAAAAAATGCTGACTCAGAATGAAGAATGAGTTACTTGTAAACCTTCAAGGATCTAGGAAATTGATATCGATGAGAAAGATCAATGACTGGATGCCAATCTCCTGTCTTCTTTGGTCCAACAAACAAATGGGAATAAAACCACGGAAGAACTGGTACCACTCTCTCCCTGCCCCCAAACCAAAAAAACTCTAATAGCCCTAGAATAAAGTTCCAAAATCTGAGGATCTGCAGGAGGTGGAAGCACTACAGGCTGGGTGGATAATGGATGTGAAGATGTGATCTGAATGACTAATCCTAACTCATTGACCTGTAGTGTCCATGGATTCACAGGTTTACCACACATCCAGGAATTCTCAGAGCCGAGCCCCACAGACTCCAGAGGCAAACAGTAGTCACTGACGCTGCAGGTAGCATTCTGACTGAGCAGCAGAACCCTTGGATATGGACAGAATCTATTCTGGGTATCAATGGACTGAGTGGCTGATGTCGGGACCATTGAATAGGGGCAGAACTATGACCCACTGTAGGAGCCGAGAAAAGTCAAGGTGCCAATGACAACAGGGATGAATGTAGAAGCTAACAATTGAGCCAATGTGCATGGTAACAATGGTCCCAACTCATCATCAATGGACGTAGTGATCCTGAGAATCTTCCAAGAAAGTTTGAAAAGGTTAATAAATAACTCGACACCATATATATATAGGGCGAGAAAAATCCTAGAAAGTTATGATCTATTCAGGTTAACTATAGATTCCGCTCTAGAACCCCAAATTTCCAGGAGCAGATGTATTCTTTGAGAATCAGAATATGCTTCCACCTGGCAATGATAGGCTAAACCACGTAGTTCCGACAACTGCGGCAGACAAGGCATTGCTCTTCCTTCAAGTAACTGAGCAGTAAACTTTCCTGCATGAACCACAAGATCAGTGAATGAAAGGAGAAATAATTATTTATTTCTAGACATTTTATCCATCAAAGAAGGTGCAAGCTCAAAAGGAACTGGGACAAGAACCCAAAACATAACACACTCAATGGATCAACTGAAGAAAAGGAGCACAAGGCAGCTGATCCCAAAGTGGCTTCCTGAGAAGCCAACAGAATAAAGGAAGGTGCAGGAAAAAGCTATTCTAAATTATCTCCAAAATATCTATGATCACCCTCTATTGCAGTCTCAGAGCCACCTGAAGGAACACCACTGAACCAAATACATACGTCTTCATCTCACTACAAATAGGACGTAGGTAAAGAGTGTCACATGACAGATGTTGCCAAGGGCGAGTAAGTGGGGAAAAAAAAGACTAGAGCAAGCAAGAAAAATTCAGACCAATGCTTAGATGGGCAAAAGAAGGAAACCCTGGCAATTGAGTAACAGCTGTAGTGTGAAAGAAAGTAAATATGTTTTGGAATTAACATTTCTCTTATCCATTTAAATTCAAAGATTTATTTTGTTTTATTGCAGTTTATGACATTTCTCCTCCAAAGCCTTTGTAATACTGAAATATACAGCATAGGAAATTTGTCACACATAATTTCAGCAAGACCCAATACTGACACACAGTTGATCCATATAGGCTAGCTAAGGGTGAATGACATTTTAGCAACATAATTAGGTTACAAAATGCCAAACTTCATACACAATATTGTGTGTTACATATTGGAAAATACATAAATTTTCTAACAGAATAGCTATCATATTTAACAGTGACTCTCAGCAATACTGGTTGAAAAACATAAGGCATACATGGAACCAGTCCTCCTGTCAGACTTTTGAACCTGCGTTTTCCACAACACAGCACAAATGTCCATCTATTGCAGTTTGCCCCTGAAGACGAAAGGTCCACCTTTCAAAAGCACTTGGGTTATAGGGTTTTTATTCATTTCTATCAAGATTTCTTGAACCTACATGGTTTTTAACATCATGAATATTGCATTCAGTGTTTCATAAGGCCATAGATACATATATACACACATACATTAAACAAGCATAAAATGAATAAAATGTTTCAAAACTAGCCTTGGAAAATGCAAGCACAAGGCTAAAATAAAATGTGGTACAGATGCACTTATACAGTGCACCACATGCACTATGTAGTTCATGTATGTTGTGTAGTTTTAGCCACTCAAACTGAACCACATCTCTTATCTAACATGTGAACAACAATGCTTGATTTGTTTGGTATTTGTGCCCACTTTATCTGTTGCTTGCATCTATTTTTGAGAAGAGAATAATGCATCAACATTTGCAACACCCTTTGATTCATCACAAGAGATATCAGGAATTTTGTTTATACGTTTTTGAAATGCCAAAGCTGCATTTTTATATCAAGCAAGCAAACTACTGAATATTATTAACTAATATCAAAACTCAATAAACAAAAATAGGCATAAATTTTACTCCACCAGACTAATTAATTACAGATTCTTAATTCCTAGCAAACTAGATACCTAAACTTCAACTTAATTAGAATATCTTACTTATGGAATAGTTTGTTTTGTTTTCTCTTGTCTTTACTTACTGATCTTTGTAGTTCTCCTAACCATGATGAAGCCTTTTCTTTGCCAGCTGGGTCAGGATTATGATACAGTGCATGAATTGCTTGGTAGACAGTCTCGAGTGAAGGTGCTGTTTCCATCTTAAGAAAATACTACAGGGTTGACTATTACACAGCTGAAGCAAATATGACAAAATTGAACTAGAAAAAAACAAAACAATTAAATTTTACAATTAAAGCATACAATGAAAAATCCAAGGACACTTTTAAATGAATATATATTTTAGGTAAAAACACAGTACATTTGAAAAGAACAATCCATTTCTTTAACTAAAAATGAAATCTGATGTCTTAACTCCATGCATACATTTTTTTTCTTTTTCACATATCCCACCACTATTTTCTTTTACCACAAAAAACACTAAAGACCAAGATGCATTTCAAACTATTTAATAATAATTGCCTCCAGGAAACTCTTTAGTTTTAGAGAATATATTACATATTTTTCAGGTAAGATATGTATAAGAAAGTAATCATTTTCAAATTGGAAAAACTTGTATCAATACCAATAAACATAAACAGCATATAACATAAAACATTACATGTATCTATATAAATAAACATCAATGAGTGTGTGTGTGTGTTCCTTCTACATTTCTTGATCAATCAACACCAAACTTGCCACAATGATACAGGATAACATGAGGAACGTCATGAAGGAGAGTCATGTTGACAGAATTCTTGAAAACAGTATGTCTTTCTTTTCAGTATTGGTACCTTTATGTATCTGAAGGCTATGTTGCCCTCCTATTGGTTGAGTGAAATAGTCTAATGCTTGAAAGTAGGACATCAAATCAACAGAAAACAAATTCTGCTGTAAGTGCATTAATCAAAACAGCACCACAACAAATAGCATCATCATTCTAAAAGATTTATCCACTTATAATCATCTTGACTATCATCACTAGATGGAGAACTAACATCCTCTTGTCTCATTGCCTTTTCATCATCACATATATCACAGGCACAGTGTAGGAGAATGTTAACTGACATAAATAAGATAAACACAATTGTGATTGAATAGATATATATATATTGCTATGTTAATTCTTGCCTGTGTTATCATGTAGAGATGATGCACATGCCATCCCTACTATCTTGTTTTTGAAGAACTGATATTACTCATCCCTACATTTACTTCTTATTTTTGATTTTTTTTTCTTTACTTGTTTGCTTTTTTTAATGCAATGTTTCAAAAGACATATGAAGACCGTATTTATAACCAAGTTCTAAATACAATGGGGTTCCAACTGTAATATTTATTGTTTCTCTATTATTGGCTAATAATTCCTGTTTCACCCTGTAGTTAACTTCAAAAGTTTACACTAGAATTATGTTGTTTTTAATTACTACTAATTAATAATACTTATAATTTGCTACAATATTTACAGACATTTCCAGAACTTGTGACTCAGTCATTACATAAAATACCATTTTGATGAACAATCCGAGTCATCCCTACATAGGCAGTGTTACCGTCTACCTGATACTGTTTTTAATGTAAAATAGGCATGTTCCTAAAAAGAGGATAACAGAGAAGATCAATACCTAACTGGTTTACTAAAGACATAAGGGGGGAAATCTGTAATAAATGCCATAAGTTTAAATTGACAGATAAGTTAGAAGAACTGCAGAACTATAGGAGGTTATTAACAAAAATGAAAGTAAAGATAAGTATATATACTATCAACCATACCTACTATATCCAGTATCCATGAGCTTTTCACCTCAATAGCGGATAGCAATTTTGTTAGAACTGGGCAATTAGTGGTATTTGCTAATCGAGTAATTAATTGGCTCTTTAATCAATTACATTTGATGAGTGTATTTTCCTACACCTACCCAACCCCATACAAGCAAAAAACAGGCATGCACTACACTCATTAGTTTTTAAAACTTGGTACAATTCTATCATTGTGGTATTCTATTTGCAAAAGACAGTCTAAAAATGTTTTACCACAATTGTTTTTAAAATAAGCTGGACATTTCCTACTTGATGAATGAATTGTTAATTTGACAGAATACCACCAGGTGGTTGCCATTATATTTGTTTTCAAAATATGTAATTGATACTACACTAGTCTTCTATAAGTCAAATAAATTATAATTAAATATTTATTTTATTATCACCAATGAGGGTAATAATGTTTTTATTTAAAACATATGATTGTAATTAGAAATGATTAAGTAGCCAGTTAGCCAATTTGTATATGTACATTGTCTGAAAAGGATATTTGTTAAGATAATATTCAATAAAGAATTGAGTCATCAAAATATTTTGCAGTTACCAAACATACTCACTAAACAGAAAACTGAGCTAAATCTACCTGATTTGATGACAATTTTATTTTATTTGGTGAACATGATTGAGAAAAAAAAAATCATGTTTACAAACATTGCAACTCAATAAAACCATAGTGTATCTATTAAGGAGAAAAACACTGTAATTTTAAATAAAGAGCCGAAACATCAACAAGATATACTTTTCTTAAGCCTTAAGCAATCCCTAATCATGACTACATTTCATATTATATATATATATAATTCCTGAATCTAGGTAAACTATTTGTACCTGATTATGACAAAATCTTTTCCAAATACTTGGTACCATGTACAAACTTCTAATAAAGTTTTCTTTGTTACCCATTCAACCTATCTCTAAACTGTAAAAACTTACTTTATCTCAAGTTATTTCATATGTCTTTCTTTGAAGAAAATTTCTTTAGCTTTCAAATAGGCATAGTTAAACACAAATACAAGGATCTATGATGAACATTCCAAGAAACTACAATAAAAACCTTTTAAACCTATATATATTTACTCTTCCACGATGTGATAGACTAATTCTTGTTCTGTCCAATTATATTCAAACTTTCTTTATACCTATTTTTAAAGTTCTGTTTTAACTGATGGTCATAATCTTGTATTAACTTAGAAATAATCAGTTGTTGGATTAGGTCTTATCTGAACAGTTATATTGATTTCAAAAACAACCTCAAAAAAAACTTTTATCTAATTAATAGCCCAATCAAATAAGAATAATGAAATGTAATGTTTCTTTCTGAAAATGTATGGCAGTGTAGAGGTCTGGCTGGTTTTTTTGGTTTTTTTTTATTAAATGTCTGAAAGAAAATAGTGGGGTCAAACCTCCTAGATCTGCAATATCAAAATCAAATAACAATTAACTTCTGAAAAAAATGGGTGGAGAGGGTCTGACCCCTCCCTTACATCCATGTCTGCTTTTACAACATTAAAAAACACAATTACTATTAATTCCCAAAAGATGTTTTTTTTCACTTTCTAGGCACCCCCACACACACCTAAGATCTGCATCAGCTTATACAACATTAAACAAGTTATTCATTTCTGAAAAAAGGTGGAAGTGGTGTTGCCCCTTTGGCTTCCATAGATACATGCCTGATTATATATCATGAAATAATAGATATCAAACCATGAAAAAATGAAGGAGTCCAGACCCCCCCCCCCCCCATATCCAAGCTTGCTTATACCACATTAAAGAATACAGTTACTCATTACAAATTAGAAACATAATATAATTTTTAAAAAATTGCACTTAATTTAACACATAATTAGTCAGAAAATTAGCAGGGAGTGCTGCTGGCCATTTACCTTTCATCTAGTCAGCAGCTCAAAATTGATAGCATTAGGTATCTATTGTCCATATGCTATGTTAAAATAGGTGTAGTTTGGTTACATGAACAGCATGACTGTCCTGTGTATAACACCAATTCATAACAACTACATGTTCTATGTTACACGGAGTATATACCATGAAGCCCTTACATTGTACTAGTGAATACTCTTTCAAACAAAAATTATTTTGAAGAATGTCAATCATTTAATGATTCTTATCATGAAAAATGATGTTTTATACAAGTTCTGTGCTGTTTTACTTTATAACCACTTAATAAAATTTCTGAAATATGTGATTTACTGAATAACTCAATTTCTTCTGTATACTTTTAAAATGATGCATTGGTGTATTTGTAAAAAAGGCAAATATATAAATATTTCACCCAAAGTCTAGCTTTACATCAAGTGATGATTAAACAACTATACATATTTTTGCTAATCTCATAAATGTCTAGTCTATTATTCATTTACACACAATAAAATAACTGAAATTAACACATTCATAATTTTAATTTAACCAACAGGCCATGAAATAAAAGGTATCACACTGCAACTTACAATGGAAAACTCACTCACTGAAAGGAAAATATGAAATTACATAACCCATGTTGCCACTACTGTTACTACTATGCTTTGAAGAAACTTGGTCAAGTTTGCAGTTTTGTCAGGCTGCCAGAAGTAGGGATGGAGGGAACACTGCCTATTAAAACTGTGACTTGCTAACAGTAACCACATGCTTTTGTTTTGAAAGGGTCTCTAAAGAAGGTATGAATAAACTTTTGGTGACCATCCTGGATCAGTGGATTATCTTCATTTAATAGCAATAAAGTGGGGTTTAATCACAAAAGAGAAGAATTAATCTCCTGGTAAGGATTAAATGTGTAATTCATTCAAGTATTCATGTTGCTCATATCTAAACCTGGACTCCTCTTCTCAAAATGCTATCATTTTCTAAAGCAGAAAAGTGGCAAAATTACTTGATTCAGAAAAGAAGTAACTGTGCAAAAGACAGAATGAAACTATTTACCTTGTAAGCAACAGCTTTCAGCATTACTTGGTTAGCCTTTAAAAAAAGCAACTTACAAAAACATGAGATAGATGAACAACAAAAGCTGACAAAAGAACAAAGTTGGGCCTCAGTTGGTGAGTAAATAAGAGATAATTTGGGCAAAATTTTTATAGACATTCCTTGTCAAAAAAATTTTTTTTTCTCTAAATGTCAGCTATTAATACTCTAAAACTTCACTTTTACAATGGGCTATGTCCAATAGTCAACATTAGGGCAGAAAGAATGCTAACAGACTTACTGGAATTGCATATATGATGTCCAAAAGAGCTCTCCTCTTTCCTCATGTCACAACTATGAAGTGCTTAACTGAATTATTTAATTCTCACAAATACTCAAATGACCAGGTCTAGAATTCTGTTCATATGTTAGACAAGTTAACAAGTTAACTTAGACTGATGTTTACTTCGTATGATC